GCTCCGCGTCACATCGTGCATCACTGGGACACGTGGCGCTGATGTGATCGCGACCCAGGCAGTTAAAGCACAGTCCGTTTCTGCCGACGAACTCTGCCTTCTCACTCACAGTCAGCGCGAGAAATTCGTCACAGTGCTGGAGCTCGTGTGTTTGCTGACACATGGTACACCAGTCACTGTGTCCGTCCGCTGATGACTTTATGGCAGCTGTCCTCTCCCGCTTTACAGCCGCCGGCGTGGTCCGCGCCGACGCGGTGGTAAACACGCGTCTTGGGCGGCACTCAGCGTCATTAGCCTCGACCTTCGGCAGCTGCTTGGTGGTCACGTTCAAGGCCAACCGACCAGCTGACACATGACGGCGAAGCCATTCGTCGAGATCGACGAGCGTCGGACGAGTGATGCCATTTTCCACCATGTGCTCGCCCCACCTCCAGGCGAGGGAGGCTGGTAGCTTCCCAGTCACAGTGGTGACGTTCGTGGCGGCAGCGAGGTCGTGCTCGTAGTGCAGACACTGTAAGACGCTCACCGCGGTGTGGAGCTCACGAGACAGCTCTGTGAGCGCTGACAGGTCACCGTCTTTCACTGGCCGCGCTGTGAGCAGTCTTTTCATCGTGGCGTGTATCACACGGGACGGGTCACCAAACTCTCGTTCCAGCTCACCCAGGGCAGTGCTATATAGACTGGCGTCGCAGAGCATGCCCCGCACAGACTCTCTCGCCGGCCCCGTCAGGTGAGTCTGCAGATAGGTCAGCCGTTCTACGTCGGTGAGGTCGGCGCGGTCGTGTACCAGCGCTTTGAAGAGGGCTATCCACCGCGGCCACTCGATGGCAGAGCCGCCGAACTTCTCCAGCGTGATGCGCGGCAGATGTGGGACCGCTCTGGTGTCGCCACGGGACGGGTGCTGCAGCCGCGCCGCAGGTGGAGGCAGGGTGCCGACAGGAGCCGTATCCACTGGCGGCACATGCAGCTGAGACTGAGCCAGCCACTGTCGGGTGCGCGTGGTTGACTCGTCCGTCTGTCGAGACACGTCCACCAGTGCCGGTGGCTCAGTTGCAACCACCGGAGGACCAGCGACGGATGGTGCAGCGGAAGAACGAGGGTGCTGCGAACCTCGCTCCTCCTGCTCCAGCAGCTCCAGCTCCAGCTGACGGTATTCAGCTTCATCCTTCGCCGCCTGAGCTTGAAGCGCTGCCTGCGCCTCCGCCTGCTCCGCCTGCCGCCGGGCCAGCTCAGCCTTGGCGGCGGCGGCGCGCTGGGCCTGTTCCGCCTGGAGCTGGCTAAGTGCAGCCCGGCGGCGGGCTTCACTGAGACCGGAGGACGCCGTGCTGAAGCTCGCCTCGCTCCTCGTGTGATACGAGCTTCGGCGGCTTTGATGTGATTTCGCATCACTGGCATGTCGTGACCGCTTGTCAGACATTGTACTCACAGTTCACAACACCGCGTCGTCACTGTAAATCCATTCGCACACTAGTTCACTGATATCCGGCCCGGAGGACCAGAATGTTCGCGAGAATCGTACAGTTCACTCGTTCAATACGGAAATGTTCGTGCGTGCTCGTGATCGTTCACTCGTTCTCTTTCGTCACCCGGAGGACCATAAAGTTATTGTTCATATAAGTAAAGGTCTATTCTTGAATGAAACGGAAACGATTAAAATGCACAAAATACGGCGGTCACAAATGCGGTTCACTGAATCGTTCTCGTAGGGCCACGTCGGCCGCGTCGTACGTAAGGCCACGTCGGCCACGTCGTGCACCGGGCCGTCGCGCACCGGTGGAGTCCCGTCGAAGACTGTCAGGCCCCCGTCCCGTCTCAGCCCTCGTGGTACGCACAACACGTGGGCATGAGAACCAGGACAGGGGCCAGATGACACATATGTGAGCGGCGTGGCGCGGCGGACCGACCGCCGCGCTCCGAGCGCCGGCCGTCTTTGCGAAGGTATCCAAAATGCCTATTTGCTCGCTAACAGAATCATTGACACGTGTCACGTGGCATCACTTCCACAATGGCAGCCGTGCAGGCGGCGGCCATTTGCATTTAGGCACGAAACGCACGGAACTGCATAAAATAAAGCTTTTTCTTTTTTGCTTATGTACACTTAATTTAAAAATATGATGTTCATATTTTGGTATCTTTTAATTAACTCAAGAAGGATTGTACGCCGCTATCGCTAAAAAAAGAAGAACCAGAAAAACAATGTTGCTCAATTATTTTCATTGAGCTACATCGGATTTTAGCGCAGCTGCGACATTTAAAAGTTCTTAGATGTGTTCAGTTTTTGAACTGCTATTTGCGAATCAATCCAAGACCCAATTATATTTTAGGAATGCTTTTGATTATATTGCTAGCGATTTCTATCTGTTGAGGAGAGCAGGAAAGAGAACACTAAGTAAAGAACATAAATTATCCACAGGATCTTTTTGAAGTTGAACGAAGTTGAGAATTTGTGGGGTGATGATGAAGTGATAAATGCTGCCTTCAATATTAGATGATATTGGTGAAGCTAGTGCTATAAAAGCAGGGTTTTGACTTTTGGAAAATGTAACTGCATTGCAGTGAAATGGAGAGCAAGACAAGGTCAAGATCAATCACAGACTCCTCAAAACAAAGTCAAATTTGTTACCAATGAATGCATGTGCATACCAATGATTGCATACCATTCATTGCATACCAATGAATGGAAATTTTGAGTAAGGTAGTTAGAGTATGTTTTCCAGTATACAGTGAGTTAAACATTGATACATGTTTAATGTAATATATGTAATGTTTATTGTACATGTCTTGCACATAAGCTTTTTTGTAAGATAATTATCCTCATGGTATTGGAATTTTCTGGCACTGATAAGTTGCCATTTAACATTGGTAGACTGATGTGTTTAATGTTGCAGTTAATGTGTTTGCCCATTTGTTATGACATCATGCATTTGGGAGAAATGTGTCATGATTGTCCTTTTTCTTCATCCAATGTCATTTAGCAAATCAAATTTGAGTTCAGAAGGTTTATCAAAAATGTTTTAATTTTTTATGACAGTAGTTGACTTTCATAATACCGACAAAATACCAAATGCTTTTGGTATAAAATACCGAATACCGAATCGGTATCGGTTCGGTATTGGTATACCGAGATTTTGGTAACCGATTGACACCACTAGTCACTATGCTGGGACGGCCGAGTTGTCATGGTCAATTATACCATAAAGGACATAATTCATGACCAACTTTGACTACCTTGATGCCATATTTCCTATTGGACAGCTGTAAGGGCATGTGACGTCATCAACGGTTACCTAACGCTTTTTTGCTAATAAATACTTACAGAAAAAAGATACAACCGCGCAAATGGTCTCATTGTGTTCAGCTCGTCAAGGCGCATCGAATGATATACAGGATGACCTTGAACTCACGTAACCTTGAGGTCAAGCGACCTGAGGTAACGTGACCTGAAGCCAACCTTTGACCTTGACCTCTCGAGGTCAACACATACATGTTTCGATGCGGAATGACGAGAGAATTACGATGGTACTTTCAGTTTTGGCCTAGCTTGATTACTTCAAAAGTTATTCATAAAAAACTGTCATCGCATCTAGAGCCGCTATTTTGACTATTTTCGACCCCTGTGACGGCTGAGTCAACCTCCAAAATACTTCAAATGCGTCGTAGGACACGCGTCATTGCTGAATGTGAAGCTGACTCGCCGATAACAAAAATCATGGCCTCAAACTAACACCGGCCAAATTGCCCCACACCCCCGGCCAAATAACCCTGCTAGTGGGGCAATTTGGCCGCTTTGCAGACCTTTGTAATACGTCACAATTTCAATATAAGTAGTTACCCTATCATTTCAAGTTTACTGTCCAGGAAAGTAAAATGTATGCCACAGGTCTGTCAGCGTTAAGAAAATGCAGAAATGTGTTGTCGATTTTTAGTTACATCGTTTTCTAAAAAAAGCGGCCAAATTACCCCACTCTCCCCTAACTCCGGCCAGTGCTGTCAAATCCTTTTCACTGCATTGGTAAGATTGGGCCCTGGATTACGCCATTTGTCTTGCTAGACCCTTTATTTAGCGGTGTCGGCAGCATCCTTGGCATTTTACACCTAATGTAGAACTGTAAGAAAGTGTCTAAATGGTCCTAGTTTGCATTCAGCACCTGCTGCGTCGCTATACGCCATCGAACTGCGCTAGTTTCGACCAATTGACAGAATTTAATGGAGAAAGTTTGACTCCCTCAGAAGTTTGATCACAGGGCTGGCCAGGAAATGAAATCATTTCGCGTTGGACTACTGTAGAAAACACGCGTCGCGACCAGCGATAAATACCAAGGACGGAAGTGATTGACTCCCACGTTTGTCCGCCTGAATGGTCGAGATATTGCTGTGTGCTACTTGATTGACAGTCGCTCGTCCTCAGTTTTTGTCCTTTCACAGTGCTGATAGATATATTATTGGATAGCAGTGACATATACCCCAGTGCTTTTGTGCGTTGAACGGCAATATTGCATGGAGACCATGCCATATTACCGCCGTATCGCAAAGGGATTCTGTGATGCGTTATCTTTTCCTTGTAGGGCTTGAGACATTCATGTCAGATGAAAGAACTTATAAAGGAAGTGTTTCAATGCTTTTGGACAAGTCTTATTGCATTTGTTCTCTTGTTCCGGAGATCAGGATAATGTGATGTTTGTAGATGCATAAAACAGTTGATTATATATTATATATTTTCTAACGTTTAAGTAACTGCGTCTTTATGGCAAAGAGACGTGCTAAAAGTTTTGTGCATAGAAATACTAGTATTATAGCTGATTACCTATTTGTCATGGTCCTAATCACTCCGACTTGCAAATAGATTGCCTTGATAATCTAAGATCCTCACAAAAACTCTCTTCCAAAGATTATTTTGTGACCACACTGGCCTCTCCCTTGACCTTGTCAAGGGTGTCTCACTGTTCAGTGGTATTGACTTGACTTGACACGACTTAACTTGAATTTGACTCTCTTGACAGATGAAAGATCTCCACCACGACCATCTGGTGCGGTTTATCGGTATGAGCATCGAGTCACCGCACCAGGCCATCTTCACCGAGTACTGCCCCAAAGGCAGTCTGCAAGACATCCTGGAGAACGAGCAGATCAAGCTGGACTGGATGTTCCGCTACAGTTTGATGCATGACATTGTCAAGGTCAGTGCAGGGTCACGACGGGCATTGTGGATGTTTCCACCCCTCACCTACCACACAAGTGTACTCACCAATATACTATTCGCTTGTATGATGAACTCCGTAACTTCTTCAGGCTTACATATGCATTTGGTTTGGTTTTTAGCATGAATGGGGTTGGGAACTCGATTTTTCAAGAATGCATGAAAATGATCAAACTATTTTCACAGAATTTATGGTGCATACCATTGCCTCATAAAATAAATAAGCTGAGAGAAATGGGGGAAGAAAGATAGGAAACTTGTTTTGAAAAGTTCTTGAAAAAAGATGCTCTTGATGCTGTTACGTCACATGTCACCTTCTGCGGTTGACAAATAATGGCGCATCTGGCGCACCACAGATTACATGTTATATCAATGGGTGAAAGATGTTGTTTGCTTCACTCTGCCATTCGCGCTGTTTTTAACTTTAAATTATGCTAAAACATTTACGAATGAAATGTTCAGTGTCAAAAATTGATGTGTCTGCCGTGTAGGGGAAGTTGGGGCAATGCCGGGGTTGGGGCAAAGCCGAAATTCGAGATATTTCGAAAACCGTACGACATGGATGACACCTGTCAGTGATGCTCTGAAGCTTAAGTGACTACCAATTATCGCATGTTTGTTACCAGTCGTCATTCGGAATACTTCGGCTGTGAGGGCGCCAAGAGCGTTTTCAATGTACGTTTCCTTTGTACTACATGCGTCTTCGAAGCTGCATTTCCTACTCATTATGCTACCGTTTGTCTGGCCAATTCGGTCAAGTAATCTTCAGCACGTCTTTGCATAAGTGTGCTGCCTATTTGAAATTTATACAGCACGTTGAAAAGTTATGGGCCTGCAAATGAAAGTATGGCTGGCTGGGGTAATGCCGAAAACGTGCATTTACGCGTGTTAAAGCATGCTACGTGAACTTTACCGAACTTTAACTTTACCATAGAATAGCAACGCGTATTTTTAGTCACACAAATTACACTTTTAACCGACACAACAGCCTGTTACCATAAGGAATGATTTACCTGGCCTTTTCTTATTATATCACACAATTATAACTTCCAGTGTGCACCAAGCGTCCTCAAGCTCTTAAAACGCGTGTCAGCTTTGACGAATTCTGGATAAAATTTGAGATAAAATAGCAAAACATCAATTTCGGCATTCCCGTAGATCATTTCTCCCATTTTCGGCTTTCCCCGCAGTCCGGGGCAACGCCGAAAAATTCACTTCTTTGATATTTTTAGTTTGTGCGCTTAACGGTATGCGAATTTATCAAATGCGCCTGGTATGTTTGAAAGGCAAAAGACTGGCCTCTCGAATGACGCCAACAAGAATAGCTTATGTTGTCTACCTTGCGTGCTACGGGCGTCAGAAAAAAAGTATTCGGCGTTCCCCCAACTTCCCCTACTATATTCCCACTTAACATGAGCGCGTGATAAACATTTTATGTACCTCGAATTTTCAAATGATAAAGATGATGAATCGGAGGATGCTGAAAAGCAAAAGCTCATTCCAATATTTGGACTACTTTGCGATTAAAATGTTTACATTCCTGTCATCTTATTGATAATTTATTTGTTCTTTTTTTATGAAAATAACTTAAGGCGTTGAGAACCGAGGTAATTTCTATCTACCGTGCCTTAACTTACCAGCAACAGCAATCTATCTACGCCCTACGGTGGCAAGGGAGACTGTGAAAGAAGCGTAAGATGGATTCTAAACAATTCTTTTGTGATATACTGAAGGGCAAAGTGCAGAGAAGAGCGTACAAGTCCTGTTTTGTGCCAGGCTGTTGCAGTAGGACTTATGAAACTCCGAAAACGATCTTCGTTCATGTCCCGAACAACATTACCCTGAGGAGATGATCGTCTGCAATAGCAGGAAGAGCTGATGCAAGTACTTTGAAATCCACTATCAAGTCGGTGCTACTGTTGTAATGATCACTGTGAGGTGAGATATTTTGTGCAAGGGCTGAGTGTAATGCCCAGGCAATGACCTCCATTCGCCCCCTGACCGGTCAGGGTTATAAAATTTGAGTGGATGGCGGTCCGTTTGGGGTTCAGATGTCAATTGTATTTTGTTACTGTCAAACAATACATGTTATGCTGGCAGCGAATGTGTGTAACGTCGTTTTTCGAAACAGAAGTTAGAACTGTAACGGCAGAGTGCTTGCTGGTCTCATCGTAAGTATTGTAAGTGTTGTAAGCAAAAGCATTGTCAATATTGTAAGTATTGTGAGCATTGATGTATGGTAGATATCACCTCACATGATCTCGGCTCAGATAACCCTCTCCGGTGTCCCTGTCAGTAAATGGCACCTGGATCATTACAGATCAGATAATTTGTCATAATTCTTAAAGAATTGGGTGGTTTTGACTCGTTTACTCGAGGTGCAGGTCGCATTTCAATACTTTTCCATAGGCTTGCAATGTAAAGGTCACGACTCTGACCTAACCTCAGGTCACAGATCAAAAATTCTGAGATATACAAACGACACATACTGCAGGTACTGTTTTGAAGACTTGATGAGAGGAAATAACTTCGTGAAAAACTCAAGCTCACGTGTTTGCAAACTTTTCTGAGGTGGGGTCAACAAACCCGCTCTGGTTACCTGACCTGACCTGACCCGGCATTTTTTTTTTTTTTTTTTGCTGAGATGTGCGCAATGAGCATTTAGGAAAAGTCACCAAATATGAGCTTAATGTCTCGCGGCGTTTGGCAATTGTACAAGAAAATCCTGAAAGGTCTCCCCGTCCGAAATAGGGTTAATGTGTATATGAAGAGTTGCAGATGCCAAACATACCCAGATCTAAGACTGCAGTTCCCAGCGCCGCTGCAACGTTTTTAAAACAAACATACATAGGACATACAAACATGTTTATTTGCATCTGTTTTGGATAATAGCAACTCATGGCACCATCACCCGCGATAACTGTTAGGATTTGAGATATATTTTTATTTAGGCCATTAGTTTGGCTGTAAGGTTTATTAATATTAGTTGGGCGGAGTTTAGTAGTTTTTTATTTAACTTGTGGTATTTTGTGCTGATTGCGGGTTGTTCAAACCTTTCAAATGTAAGGACCTTATTGAACTCAACCCTACCCCTACACTACCCTACATACGACTGGACGCTTTCCAAGCCCACAAGCATCACGACGCCGAGATGGAATGTAGCCGAGAAATCACCCTCGCCATCTGCTCTAGAGCTAATCGTGTGGGGCGGCGTGTGGGGCGCCGCTTAGCCTATGGGGGTGCACTTCTAGTGGATGGGGGACGGGGGTGCACCTGCACCCCTTTCATATGGAAAGTTACTTCCCTGATTACAGCTCCCCGTATTGCACCTAATCAGGGAACGGCCAGCAAACGAAGGAACTATTTCTGGATGACAGGCGAATAACCGCTCACGCAAGGAGCGGAGCTCCGCCCCGTCCAAAGTGGCCAACAAAGCAGAGACAGAGGCAGCATCACATCTTCCATCAAAGAACTGGTTTCTGGCTTGGAAGATGAGCTCCATCTTTGCATCCGAGTCGGTGCTGTCAGGAATCAGCTGGTCTAATGGAGTGAGAGTAGTGAGACGACTAGCTATTGTATCAGAGCTGCCTGGTCTTCGTAGCATTTGCACCGATTCTTCTCGATCGGACTCTGAATTTTGTCCCTCCTGCGTATTACTTGAGGCATTGCTATGTAGCTAAGTCTTTGGCAGAGTTTCATTATCCATGCTTTGCAAACAGTGCCATAACAACACAGTTAATTAATCACCAAGCTTCTTTGCAAGTTCCAATACAGTTGAATCGCACGCGATTTGAGTGCAAAAATCAAGAAAAGTGCCAACTTGTTCCCGTAAAATATTTTGCATATTGACCTAAAAAAATGAACAATTTCCAGATAAAATAACAGCGAAATCAGTTTTCGCTTGCCAATAAAACTCACAGATATTGAAGCTCCATTATTAAAGGAACATTTTAGTATATGCCATTCTTGATAAAACTTCTTAGCCACGCAATACCAGCGCAAAATAAAGAGACACTGAAAACACGACCAATCACTCCGATTTACCATAGGAAAATACATAGAAAATGTATGTCTCAACTGCGCCAAATATACAGACAGTTATATACCTACATGTCACGTCATGATTAGCCCGACCAATCAGAAGCAAGTTGTTTTCAGCCACAAATAATTAATTTCTGAACTAACTAGGTATTTTTATAACAAAGTGATTTTAAATTAAATCATTAAAAATTCTGAGCTTTTTTATTTTACCAAAACATACAGAGCATGCAGATAGGTCCCAACCCTATTGTAATAATGGTGACGCTGATTCTGGCAACATTCGTGGATGAAATGTATGAATGATTTACGTAAACATAGGCACTAGAACACCCAAATGCGTACGAGATTTGAAACTGCAGGCAAAGTACCTTATCAATATCCCAACTCCCCTGTTCTGTCCTAACCCGTCTTTAACAGTCAGCCTTTTTTGTTGACTATATTTGGGTCTATTTTTAGAAGCGTTTTGTTTCGCACGACTGCTCAAGATGCTAAAAGACATCTAACACGACCAAGTTAAAACCACAGACATTCGAGGCATCTGTTTGTGTGCGGTTCGTTTCACGGGGCTTGCCTATTCTGTGAGGAGAATGGACTGCCGGCAGTCCGATTTAGGATTGAGCAGAACAAGCTGGGATGATGTTTACGGCTTCCCTCCGGTATCAGGTGGCGTCGGGGTCTAATGCGCGAACATTTATTTCCATATTCATACCACGTACGGCGAATGAAGTCTGAATGCAACGAGGAAAGAAACGCGTTGGAGAATGCTACATGGAAAGATAAACCAGGACGATGACATGCACGACTCAACTAACGAATGCCTGCAAACCTACTGTAGGTGTACATAATTACAGTTAGGTAAACCTAACAATTTTCCACGAAGTGTAAAAATGCGAGCTGTTGCCGTCGGACCATCCAATTACATAAATGCAGCCTAAAGCAGTGCAAAATTGACACCCCTGAGTCACTTTCGTTCAAAGAAGTCGGCACAGTTGGTGACCGAGCCATTTCGTTAGTGTAACCTTTGTAAGACTGTCCCGAGGGGGACAGAGACTCGGGGCCGTCTGAGGGCCCCGGGACCGTGTCAGTGTTATTAAAGCGACCGCTGCGGTAAACACAGAGTAAGGCAATGAATTGCGCTTATGCTGAATAACACTGCTGCAGAGTCATTGGTATTTGAGTTGAGTGTTAGAAAGACCTAGGTGCAGGGGTGGATGCTTGAGTTAAGCTGTTTTCGGTGGTGCTAAGAAAGACAACAGGAAATACTTAACCTGGGCTTTAGATCGCTTAGTAGTAACAATATTGCCTGACGACCAGGATACAGGTGCGCTCAATGAGATTTATATCTTCATTTTTGTAATGAACCTCTGCTGAAAGGAACGGCCAAGTCAACGAACCCAGTACGTTTACAGGGCTGGATTTTCTAGGAATCTTACTCTTCTACGTATGAAAAAGATATCCTGTCCTGCTTTCCGATCAGTGTTTATATTGGCCATCTGTCATCGAACCCCTAAGTATCATTCAGTAAGACGCTCGGTACTCCATAGTCCACACTAAGATTGAGCCCATCATTGACAGCACCCTTACCCAGTGTGGCGAAAATAGTCAAAACTTTGGTTTTCAATGTCCGGAAACAGACCCTTTGTCTATAAGCATGTGCGCAAACTTTGCCTATTATAGCCATACTAAAGGCGAAGGCTCAAGTCAATGTAGGCGGAGAGGCTTATTGAAATCGTTGGGCACCGCGAGTCCTTCTGTTATTGTTTTCACGCTCTAAAAAAAAAGATTCCTTCCAAATAGTGAGAAGAGTAGAGCGGATACATTTCATAGTTGGCGTTTTTTCTTAAACCCCCTCGGCCCTCCCCCAAAACAAAATCTGACTGCTCGCCACCTGAGTTATGTCTCATTCTAAGCAGCATTCAGCACAGCACTCATAGAACACCTATTCGCACAGGAAATTAACCTGTCTCCCCGACGCCCTCTGATTGTGTTCGATCCGGTCGTGTTTCAGGGCATGGCGTACCTGCACAGCAGTGAGATCCGGGTCCACTCCAAACTCAAATCGTCCAACTGCGTGGTCGACAGTCGATTCGTGCTGAAAATAACCGACTTTGGTCTGCATCAGCTCGACACGGACGACGAAAACCAAAACCTCGACTCGTATGTGTATTGGAAACGTAAGTGAGAGGTTCTCCAGCTGCGTGCAGTCTCGTAGTATTGGTCTTGAACGATCGTTGGTCCCATCAGAAAAAATATCATTGATTGGTAAGTCACATACTGCTCAAATATGCTCAGCACCAAAAACCTTTTCGTTTGGCCTTTTCGATCTTTTAAGATCAATCAAGACTCGTGGAATGTAAGTGGACGTTGGAAACCTGGGATCGAATCTGGAGTCGACGTCTGACTGACGTCCCAGACAAGGAATAAGTCCATCCCATTAGGACGGAAGTGAGCCAGTTTGACAGGTTACTTGGACCAGCCGCTCTAACGGTCACTCTGGATGGATGTGCTCCTTTTGGGGCTTCCCTCTACTGGCTGTCTGAGTTTGGCGGACGTCAGCCCGGAGCATAAAGATGTTGTCAAATTTGAGAACATTTCTAAAGATGTGTTGCTGTGGCTGAGGAAAATAGTTCACATAGAACCAGAAAGTCAATGATATCCAAGATCTTTGTTTGATTATGCGGAAGCTGCATTAGAGTCAAACTAGCGTTCATTGCCCGCCTCTTGTGAGCCATTCTTCTTCGTTAAAGGCACCTGTTACGTCGCGTTGTCTGAGATATGCTCGTTCCACAATTTATGCACTCATGAGCGTGGATGCCGAGCTAAAACCACTGGTATAATGGTGTTGGTCAGTCCTTGATGCAGCTGATTGTGCTGCCATCTGTGGCACTGAACGAACACCGTATCTTGTGCCATTGGCTGAGGTGGCGGCCAAAGCTCCCTCTGAGAGCTGAGGGCTAGGTGGCGCGCAGCACTCACTAAAGCCCATAGGCCGCCACAGCTCGCTCTGAGGGCTGAGGCCTGAGGACGGCACTAGGTAGACCTGCCGATGGCGCGCAGCACTGACTAAAGCCCAGAGGCTGGCACAGCTCGCTCTGAGGGCTGAGGGCGGCACTATTGGTAGACCTCCCTAGGTGGCGCACAATTCACCAACGCCAGGGTGATGAATTAGGAATATTTCTATTTCGAGCACTGACTGCGACTGGTTAGTGGCATATTCACTTTTCACAGTAAAATTTTAGAAGTAGAAAAGGATAAAATGTAAAAAAGTGCCTACAGAGGCTTGTCGCGATCCTGTTCATATGTGTCTATATGCAGATCTGACGGCTCCGAGGGACGGCGATCTGTCTGTGTGCGTCCTGCTGCGTGTTCACCCCGAAAAAGTAATCAATGATGGTGACGTCAGCGCCCCCGCAGATCACTGCAAACAGCTCCCAGCAGCAGCTGCTGCTGCTTCGTTGTCTAACACACTACAAAGGCACCATTAGTAGCAAATACCATCTCTGACATTGTTTTGTGTGTGTGCCAGTTTATTGCCATTTTTGTGCATTTGCAATGCCGTAGGCTGATGTAGTCGACTTCACTTCAGTCGGTACTTGCGCTCTCATAAAAATAGCATGTCCTTTCAGTCCCGAATCGCCTACTCACACCCAAACCGATCTGCAACGATTGCCATCCCTGTCCGTAACCTATCCCTAGATGGCAGTGTGATGCGGTGCTAGATGCCGCCGTCAGTCGCCGTCACCGGCCGCTCTGCTCGGACAGGACGATTATGGACGGCTCCTGAGCTCCTGCGAACCGCGCAGCCCATGGGCCACATCCGCGGCACGCAGAAGGGGGACGTCTACTCATTCGCCATCATCGTTCAGGAGATCATTATGCGCATGGGGCCGTTCTTTGTGCACAACGAGATATCGCCAAAAGGTAAGTTCCGGCGCATGGGACTGGTGCTGTGTTGAGGGAGGTGCTGATAGCGTGTTTGATAATTATATGCGATGGGCATGTAAAAACACGCCAATGTCGCTATACGATCTTGTGCACTATCCGTGCACGCAACAGCAAATTCAGATCGATTAACTGGTGACACCGCTGAACTGTTCTTCGAAACCTTTGGAGAGTGGCCTGCACTTTAAGGGCTTCAGTCAAGTCGAGTTAAATCGGAGGAGGAACACCTTCGACATATTATTGTAAAGTCTTCTATCGTAGGTGATTTACGTTTGGTGAAAACAGCAATGCCCAATGCACTTTGCTTAGGCGTAAAATACCTTGCTACGAACTAGTGCATGGCTGAAACCATACTGGCATGCGATTCAGACTTTAATGCCGGACTTTTTTGTCTTATCCGAACTTTGCAAAGAGACGGTGGCTTCTCATCTGTGAATTCATCTATGTACTTTCGTGGTTTGGGAAGGCTAGCTCGGTCACAGGACTGTATGTTTTGCCTTCGCATTTTGGATGACCGAAGACCTTAATCTAAATAATTATGCTTTTATGGTCCCCGAAGGTTTATCGCCAATGCATGAGGCCGTGTTCTTTGCAAGATCATCAGAACTGCATTTTTGGACACGTTGGGCGTTGTGACTTTACGTTGTTCTGTGTTACTCTTCTCGTGAGTTTGGTTATATACAAGTAATACACAAAAAAAAACACACAACTTTTAATCCAAAATGTTTTTTGTTCTTTTGGCTTCATTATGACTTCTCAACACCAAATTCCTTAACCCGCGGCCGCGCCCCACTTGGGTCTGCGTATAACACGCCCTACTGGGCCCAATCTCACCAAGTGCGGTAAACTCATTTTGCGGTAAACTACCCCAAAACGAATCTCACCACTGACGTAATTTTCGAAGTTACTGCATCGAAATAACCCCATGGGTTTGGCTTGTTCATATTTTGGGCTCTGGCCGCCGGCTTACAAGTCAGATAACACTCATTTTTGGTTTACGCACTTGTGAATAGTTAGATGCTTTAGATACCCTGAGGGTACCAAACTTGTACTTTGATTCTCAGGTCAGGGTCAGGTCATCACAGGTCACGGAAATCTTATATCATGAATCGGTCACGTGACACATGTTTTTTGGTCTCTTTAGGCTATATATTTCGAATTCGGTGTCGTTTATGTCATTCGAGGTAATTTTGAGTTGAATTTAGCTGAAGTCAGGCCACTTTCAGGTAAAAAGAGCAAATTTCGAAATTGATTTTTTTCAACAAGTGTGATTATCGGATGCAGTTTGAGCTCAGTAACACGACGGTGTTATTTATATTGGTGTACGATGTCAAATACGTACTGAAAAATTGATTTGAAAATTTATAATTGTGAAATTTTTGCTATAACTAATGCGTATACCTTGGGCCATTTTTGAAGATATCTGGCTAAAACTTGCTAGAGTAAGTCATAAGCATGTGTTCTGGCACACATATTCCGTTTTTTTTTCGAAAAGTCAGCTTTTTAAGAAAAAAAATGTCAAAATATAAATTTTGAACTTAAATATCTATATTTTTCAAAATTTTCAAAATGTTGAAAATCCGAGATAACAGTTTGATAGCGCCGTCTATTGTGAGTCCTCTCATGCAAAGAAATTGGATCTATGTAGCGAAAAAACTGAGCTCTTGAGAGCAATTGCTGTTGTTTTGTTCAATGTTTTGCGTTGAAATCGGCCGAACATGACGTCCCTCTGACGTCATTTCCGGCCGACCTATGGTAGCTACGAAGTTCATATTTTAAATTAATGCAGTCGAAGGTGCTGAAAGTTTTGCGTCGTGTATAGCGGTTTATTAATTATTGCAGAAAAACGACAAGGGAGCTATGAATAGCCCCCCCCCCCCCAGCGGGACCCGGGTTAAAACTAAAAGCAAGTAACCATTAAACGTTACAGGGCCAGGACTAAAAACCATAGACAATTTGGATCCGTCCACATCATAGATGTAAAGGTCGTGATGTGGGTGCACTACGGGTAAATGGAAAGATCTCTTTGTAGCGCTCCTTAAGCCCGATACAATTACACAAGAACAGGAAAAGATAAACAGTGCAAGGAACTTATAATGAGATTTAATTTAGATTAATAAGTATGGTCAGTTAAGTAGTACATCTTTTGTATTCCTTTAAAACATCGTGAACATGCGATGGTTTACAATTGCTTTTTACTAGAAAGCAATTTATGTTAGATTCAGCTAAACTGTTTTTGTCACATTTGTCCACGTGATTCATTGTATTTAGTGGTCGTTTATCTTTCTGGACAGCGGTTGACGGTCAGTTAATCATCCTGCAACTGGCATGTGACAAAAGACGCGGAGCCGACCGCCGGTTGCGAGGCGCCCGGCTGGCTCGGGGCAGGGGAGGTCGCATCTTGGGACGGAAGGGGAGGGGTGGTCGGCGGGCTGCGTGCGGCGTCGGTCGCGTCGGCTCCGACGCCCGCCGGCGGGCGGCTCCAGTCGCTCCGCGGTGGTCGCTGCCGACGGGCCGACTCCGGTGCGCGGCGGGTGCGGTGTTAGACGGGCGCAGCCGGCGCCCCGTTCCGCCAAACTGTCGGCCGAAATCGACCTCATTCTGAGCATCTACTCGGAGGCCGGCGGTATGCAGAGCGCCCGGCTGTCTCCTCCGGAGCGGCGCAGCGGGCGCGCGCTCGAGCCGCCGGCGCCGCCGCTGGTGCCGCGCGACCCGCTCAGTCGGCTCTCTCCGCCGTTCCTGGGCCACTCACCCACGTCGCTGACTGCTCCCGGGGGCGCCGGCTGGCCGGCCGGTGGCGCCGCGGCCCTCTCACGGGCCGTGTCACCGGCGCGGTGCACACCCAGTCCGGTGGACATGGCGGCGAGGAGGGGCTCCTACTGCAACATTGACTGCACGTACTGCAAGTACCAGACTGCGGCCAGCCCGGCCTGCAGTCCGCTCCGCAGCCCCCGCTCCCCCTGCAGTGAGTCCGCGCCGAGAACGATACCGACGGTATGCTGGATATATCGGTCAGTTTTCTTGACGGTGATACCCGTAATGGTCGCCGTTCAGTTCAAGCTTATCTTGCCTGGAGTTAGTGAAGCTGCTTATTTTCCGCAGTTGCATTGTTAACTTTTTCGGGTAAATGTGCCAATGAAACGGATATCGCGGGGTTTCATTTTCACTTTCGTCAAACACTGATATAATGTCGGTAATAGTTTTATCATTGGCAAGATTTTGTTCAATATAATCTCAGACGAAGCCACCAACAAAGCCTCGTCTCGGTCCGATTCCATGCTGTGTCCACTGTCCAGTGTCCGCGAGTCATAGTGACTAGGTAGGCTGCGCCGCCGAGCACCGATGTAATGCGGCACAGCCTACCCAATGTTGAGCAGGCGGCTGCGCGTCGCTGCCCGGCCAGCCAAGACAACCCACTTCCAGTCTCCTCAATTGTTCCCTGAACATCAAAAGGCGGTTGTTTTAGATAAATCAACACAAGGAAGGAATTGCATCTGAATTTTTTTGCGAGTATACATATATTCGAACTTAAAAACAGCGAAATACCTACCTTATCGTAAACGTACTACTTATAGACATGGTGTGTGCATGTTCTATAATCATTTGTTTGATGAAATATTGAGTGCCATTGATATTGATGGCATTTAACGATAGCTGAAGTAATGCTGGAGTTCTTCAGGGCCTCATAATACATCATCTTGTTACTGCTTTATAACAGACGTCCTAAAGCGAAATTGCATGCACTACATTTTATTCATAGGATAATTAAGATGGATATTATTTGTTCTCAACTACTCTTATTCACCTACTCACTCTCCTTGTAACTCTAAAATTCATAAAGATACGGAAAGCGTCTTTTTAATGACATCCAACAAAACTATGTAGAGCCGAGCTCTTTTGTTTCTACACAGCCGATATCATATCGGCAACATCTCTTAAGTTTTGAAAACACATTCAAGTGTCGCACATATATCTCGCTAGTGTGAGAGAATGCACGTTGTAAAGCTGTTTCACAAGAAATACCGCACTGATTGTGTCTTAGCTGCGCTTCTTCTGTAATTTACAGTGGCTGATATGCCCAAGTTCTGTGCTTATTTAGTGGACATTTTGTGAGCGTAATCCCCTGAATGGTTAATTAAACTTTCGGGCCCAGCGTATATTTCCTACACGACCTTAGCTGTGTTTCTTTTCATCAACATCTCTCATTCTGGAAAATGAGATCATCAAGTTCTAAATCATCAGACACAACTATACTCTCCAAGGCTTACACAATACACATAGTCATGTGAAGGCGTAACCCGGCCGTTCTCCCTGTGCCGCAGAGATCGTCGAGAACGTACGAAACGGCCAGAAGCCGCCGTTCCGGCCGGCTATTGACGACGACATGGCGGATGAGGAGGTACTGCAGATGATGCGACGCTGCTGGTCGGAGGACCCCGTCGACCGACCCGATTTCCACGCGCTTAAAGGCATCATCCGGCGACTGAACAAGTGAGGAAGATGTCAGGGTTACTGTTTTGCTAAGTGATCATAACAGCCGTTTAAAACACTGTACTTTTAGTTGCTTATTAGCTTTAGCATTAATTGGCTTTAGGATTATCTTTAGTGTAGATATGCGAGTTGTGTGATAACCTTTATTTGTTGACATGACCCTACCATTTTTTTTTTTTTGCAATCATAGTTATATCTCTGACAGGCTTATCTTATATAATTCCTTCATATCCTTTCTCTAAGTGCACACCGCCGTTTGAGCTTCCGGCCAGAGAATTCCATCGATACCATTTCCAGCTGTGTCTGTTACCACGTCACTATAGCCCCATTTCCAGTCCTTGGAGACATTGTGATGTAACCTTCATTTTGATCAATTGAGTCTAATAGCTTCATCAGCACTTCAAGTATGCTGGATCAGTAGTAGTAACATATCAACCCCAGTTGGAGTTCGATTAGTTGGCTTAAGCTGGTGCAGTGATATGCCGTTTCCCTCGGCCTGATGGGCAAGGACGAGTTACTTGGAGATTGAAGGTCCTCGAAATCACCAATACTTTACAGTATCCTGCTAACGATTACCTACATTTTGCTTTCGTTCCATTTGCCTCGCTTTTCCGTAGATGATGACATAACTCAACCGAACTCCGATGTCCTAAAATGAAGGTATCATTTTTAATAAATTTGGAATACCCTTACATACCTTTACTTCCTACTATCTATAATCAATGTCACGTTTACGTTGACATTACCTATATTGCAGACGTTTTACGTATAAATTCAATTAAGACCGGCGGTTGTTCATTGGGCTTATTGTCATTCGAACGCATTCTTGCTTAGCGTGACACTGACTCCCCCACATTCTGCCAGCTGAACCATTCGAATCGAACTAAACTCTGATCTTAAAAAACGCTGGATCACGATTTTTCAAACTGCTGCTCATTTGGATTTTACGTCGTCTTGTACGCTCAATAAAGCCCTAGAAATAATTTTCT